TTCCTTACCACCCGAGCAGATTAACAGAATCACTTATCACTTCCCTCCTGGAATTTTCCTGGCCACATACTGTCCCAAAATTTTCCAGACCATTCAGGTGTTCAACCCTACAGCATGCTGGCCCCTTACAGGGAAATTCTGGGAACAAGAATAGGGGCCTCTTTCAGATCTGAACACTGGTTGTTCTTGCACAAGACCTGGGTTCAAATCCCAGCACCCACATGGCAGCTAACAAATGTCCATTAACTCCAGTTCCTGGGGATCCAACCGCCTCTTCTGTCCTCAGGCATTGCACAACACAGGTGCACTTACATACACACAGGCAATACACATAAAATAAAAACAAAATATTTTTTTAAAAAGAAACTGTTGCCCAGGTAATGTAAGGCATTCTTTTCACACACTGTATCCCTTTCACTTACTGCTATCCAAGAATAAAAACCGGTTTTAGAATACTGTCCCCCATCTTCTCACCCCCTGTAATCCGGATCCATTCCTCAAACTTTCTGCTTGTGCCACCCATCCCCTAGCAGGAACATCATCTTGCACATCTCCACACACTTCTGAGTCCATCAAACACAGAAAGGCAGCTGAGGAAACAGCTGTCCATGGAGTGCTACTGTGAAAGCCCGAGGGACTGAGTCTGCACCCAGCACCCACAACCAAAGCCAGGTGTGGTACTAGGGATCTATAGCTAGCAGAATACATGGACTCCAGGTTCAGTGAAGAGACCCTGTCTCAAAAATAAAGGTGGAGGGGCTGGAGAGATGGCTCAACAGTTAAGAGCACTGACAGCTCTTGCAGAGGACCCAGGTTCAATTCCCAGCACCCACATGACCGCTAACAACCGTCTGTAACTCCAGTTCCAGGGGATCCAACGGCCTCTTCTCATCTTCACAGGCACTGCATGACACGGGTGCACTTACACACATGCACATAATACATTCATACACATAATAAAAATAATAAAATGTTAAAAAAAATCAAGGTGGAGCCGGGCATGGTAGCGCACGCCCTTAGTCCCAGCACCTGGGAAGCAGAGGCAGGCGGATCTCTGTGAGTTCAAGGCCAGCCTGGTCTACACACTGAGCTCCAGGCTAGCTGGAGCTACAGAGAAACCCTGTCTCGAGACCTTGTTTCAAAAAGACCAAAAAAAAAAAAAAAAAAAAACCCAAAACACCCACCTTAAGGTGGAAAGTGATGAGGAAGATGGAAGATGCCTCATGTAGACCTCTGTTCTCCACATGTATATACACATGCACGGGGAAATACACACGCATGCACGCACACACACACGAGGAAAGAGCTTTTCTCATGGTTCTTTACGATTCATAACAAAGATGAAGTTGTTCAATGCAGATTCTATGGGGAACTTTCCAAGCCACACAACAAAAATTAAGGAACGCTGCTGAGAAGCTGCCGACGACCACCGCCACAGTAAACCCACGCTTACCTGTGTGTGTGTGCTTCTATACCAACACAGCCTTACTTCAGTGGGAATGGTGCGCATCTTATCTGGCAAACCACACAAGGGCTCGAGCTGTGCAAACTGCCTGGGCAAGGCGTGCTGTAGGTAATTATGAAGACGGTGCACCCACCTTTCGACAGCACTGATTCTTTGGTTGTCTTGTACTTTCTGTAGCAGTGGGTCTTTTTGTAACTTTAAATTTTTTTTTTAAACTTTATGTGTATTTGTGTATTGTCTGCATATAAGTGCACCTGTGCCGTGCAATGCCTGCAGAGGTCAGAAGAGGCTGTCGGATCCCCTTGGACTGGAGTTACGGACAGTTGTTAGCTGCCATATGGGTGCTGGGACAAACCTGGGTCTTCTGCAAGAACAACCAGTGATCTTAACCGCTGAGCCATCTCTCCAGTCCCTGTAGCAGTGGATCTTAACAAATGGGAAGGTTACAGCATAACCTTTCCATCTTTAAAAATAAGACAGTTATCTGTATTACTGCTGTAATTAAAGTACTTTATAGGCATGAAAAATGACTAAGGAAAACACATCCAATTTATAATGTAGCTATTATTTGTTGGGAGAGGAAGTCCATGTGCCACATGTGTGTAGAGATCAGAAGGTAAGTCTGTGGAGTCGGTGCTCTCCATGTGTTCTGAGGATTGAACTTAGGTCCCCAGGCTAGTGTGACAAGAACCTTCTCCACAGAGCCATCTCACCAGCTCAAGCATCTGATTTTTGTAGTGGTTGTAGGATAAGTGATTTTTTTTAAATTTTGATATCAATGACATGAAATACACTCCAGGAAAAGACTTGATATAAGAATTTAGTACAGGGCTGGAGAAATGGCTCAGCAGGTAAGAGTGCATATGGGCCTTCCAGAGGACCAGAGTTCAATTCTTCACAGCCACATGAGGCAGTTCACAACCACCTGTAACTCTAGCTGCAGAGGATCAAATGATTCTGGCCTCCACAGGCGCGCGCGTGCGCGCACACACACACACACACACACACACACAATTTTTTAAAAAGAGAAGTTCTTACAAATAAGGCAGGAATCGAAACAAATCCCACTTTGGATTTCAAATGTAGAAGCATTAAAGTAAGAAGTCATACTAAGTATTTCTGATGAGAAAATGTTTTATTAATTTTGTTTGTAGTGGGTTTTGCTTTCATTTGTTTTTTTGGCTCAGCAGTTAAGAACACTGGCTGCTCTTGCAGAGGACTGGTTGGGTTCCCAGTATCCACGTGGTAGGTAACACCCATCCCTAACTATGGTTTCAGGGGATCCAATGCCCTCTTCTGGTCTCTGCCAGCATTGCATACACATGGGGCACTTACAAACATGGAGGTAAAACATACACATAAAATAAAAACAAAAAAAATCTTCAAAAAAATAGAATTAAAAAGTAAAACTACAATGTTCAACGGCAGTGTGAGGATAGATAGATACAAAGACAAATTCCACCTCCACCAAAGCACTGCTGTGCACCCCGAGTCTTCATGGGCACCTTAGTTTAGCAATGCAAAGACATAATCAGGGCTTTACAATTCTGGTTTAATAGTGTTTTGTCTTAAGAAATCACTACTGACAAGTACTGGGAAGCTATTCTTCTTCAGGGCTTAGTGGGTTTTGTAGAATACATTTGGTTCCTTTAGTGAGAAAGAGAAGGGCCAGTCCCAGCTGATGGATGACCTTCAAGGACCAGAAAACATCTACAGAAAGCAGCACAATCACAATCAGGAGAGCTAAGCCACTCCCTTCAGGAATTAGCAAGATGAAAACAACTGGGAAAGGTGGTGAGGGAGCTTAACCATCTCTCTAACAAGGCTGCGTGAAAAGCTGGCACTGGGCAGGGAGTGCAAGCACAGAGCAAGGGACATGGCTGATCATCAATCCGGCTATTTCTGGCTAGCAGTTTCACTAATTTCTGTAGCCTTGCCAATACAGTAACATTTGAGAAAATGTCAGCACTTGTTTCAAACAATATGTGAAGAAATGCTTGTTTTCTTAATATTTAACCAACAGGTTGTGCTGTTTTGTGTTTTGAAAAAATAAAAAGGACTAAGGCATAGAGACAAAAACACATCACACACATTTTATCCTATTTTAAGCATGCCAGTGTTTAAAACAGAACTTGAGAGCTGATTTTGGTATTACAAATAAACTCGGGACCATAACACTACAAAGTACTAAAACCCAGCATTCCACGGAAAGGAGGAGTCTGCCCAAATGCAACTCTCTTCTCTGCAGACACCCGTGTCTGTAACTTGAGGAGCCCTGGAAGATGAACCCTGAAGCCAAGACTGCCGCTCTGCTCTGTATCTGATGTACCACTATCCTATACTGACGCAGACTTCTCAAGGCATTTAAACATTCAGAGAGCCAAAGTTACAGCTTGGTGCTGACTCAGGGTCTCTCAAACTTGAAATAGCCTCAGAATTTTCTGGTTTACCTACTTCCCATCTGTACAAATATTTACTTAATGTTTTCTTTAAATCAGTTATTTGTTGTTTGAGAAAGGGTCGCCCTATAGTCCCAGCTGGCCTGGAACTCACTATGTAGACCAGGCTGGCCTCCATCTGATAGAGATCCCCCTGCCTCTGCCTCCTGAGTGCCCATATTAAAGGTGCGTGCCACCACACCTGGCTCAGTTGACTCTTTAAAATTAAAATACCTACTTTAGGCTTGTTCGAAGCTTTGCCAGTTATTCTTTGAAAAAATTCCTAACATGTGAACGCTCTAAGTGGGTAAATTGTTCTACCACTGGAAAACAGGTCTAACAACTATCCTTAACCCAGTTCCAGGGGATCTGAGTTTCTCCCTGGCTGTTGCAGGCATTGAATGCATGTGGTACACTTATACACGTGCAGGCAAAACACTCATATGCATAAAATAAAAATAAAATTTTAGAGATTTAAAAAAACCAACAGGTTCAATTCCAATTGTTCTAACAATAAATTTTGAGAAATGTATCCTAATATTGTTCATAAATGTTTAAAATCCCAAGCTTTTAAAATCCACCCCCTCGCCCCTAATTCCACATTAAACTTTCTAGTCACTAAAGCCCTGCAGTTAGGCATGGTGGTGCACACCTGCAATTCTAGGCATAGGGGCAGAGGCAGGCAGGTCAGGGTCCGAAGGACAGCTTAGGCCACACAAGCCTCTGTCTTAAAAAACCAGAGAAACAACCCAAAATCTCTACAGTACCTGGTCTAGTTTACAAATTATCATCTGCTACAAAAATGACACTTGCAAGAAAAATCACCTAAGTGAGCAGGGCTCTATGCACCCAGCTCACAGGACTTCCTTATGGAAGTGGGCTCCACATGCACAACCTTTGGTCATGCTGGCAACATGACCAATCACGGCTCTCGCCATCCACCCTGCGTGCTCACACAGTTCTTAGGCAATCCATCTTTAAATACACGCCTCTCTCACTGATGGGCGTGGAGCTCACGCCACTCTTCCTTTCACGCGCTTGCCCTTCTTTGCTGCATACATCAGGTATTCAATAAATGCTTGTGGAGAAGAACAGAATCAATACAGAGCAACCTTTATTGCCATAATAAATTGCATATTTGTAAATTGTATATTTGCACCAAGCAAAAGAGATCTTTATTTTTAGTTTTGCATTTCCTTAAAAGTGGGGAGTCTGTCAAATATGTCTGTCCACTCCAGGAAATGCACAATAATCAGCAGACTGCCCACCACACCCATTTTCCTATGAACTCCAGAGCCCCAAACACAGCCTGTGACAGCTTCATGTGTACAACTGAAGACTTGGGAATTTCATAAGTTATTCTTCAATAAACTATACAAAAATATTCATTTTAGTAAAATTTGTTTTTCAAAACCACAGCTATTTAATTATTGCTCCCACCTCATAAGACTCATATGAAAATAAAACTTAAAATAGAAAAGGAGAAAAAAACAAAATCAACAGAAAGTTGGCTCCCGGCGTCTGAGTCACTTCTGGGCTTTCTTCCTGGTTCTTGAACCTTGAATGGGAATCAAAGAAATGTAAAGAATTAATCATTAATTTATAAAAGCTAAAGAACCGAAATATAAATCTTCCTATCCACATCTAGTTGATGGACGGTTTGTAGAATGCAATTTACACAAAAGTGTAACTGTCCGTACCCTGGAGATTCTAGGAAACTGTGTCCTACTCTAATATACCAAGGAATATGTCAATGAAACTCACTTTGTAGTCCTAACCCTTCAAAGAACCACACCCAATGGACACAGCTACTCAAATATTTCTCCCCAGAATTTTCACTGTAGAACCAGGAACAGTGACTTTCGATGTAAAGTCCAAGTCCAAACGGGCTAGGAAGGGGCACTGAGGCTGTGCGAGGTGTTAAAAGCGAGGGGCTCTGTGCTCGAGTTGCTTTCCACAGCCTTCCTCCACATGGAAGATACTTCCTATGGGACTCAGGGCAGACCTGGCCTGAGGCCCCTAGGACAGCTCCTCTCTACCTCTTCATAGGTTGAGATCAATAAGGGACTCTCAGAGGGACTGGAATTCCATCTGGTCAGGAAATCTCCCCAACTACCCCACATGCTCCAGCCTGACCACACTCCCTGGTGCTGGCCCCAGCTCTAGCCTGACCACATTGCCTTAAGTTCTCTTCCAGAACAAGGGTTGGCCTCAGAAGGGCAGCCTGCTGGACCGTGTCAGTCAATTACTTTTTGGAAAAGAACACAACATGCTTTGACTGTGAGACAGTATTTCTGCCTCACATGTGTAATAACAAGTAGTTTCTAGAGAGATTCTGATGGGGGCTCACTCAATTACTTAACTGGAAAACCAGTTTAAAAACTAGCGTTTTTTTTTTTTTTTTTCAAAATTCCAGTTTCTGTTCAATTATACTACAATTCAGTCAGAGCAAATGAACATCATTCCTATCGATCACAATACACAGCCTGTACACCATGGCAGATTTCACAATTTGGGGTTTTTCTTTACTTTCTGTGGCATAGCTTTCTTTTTTATTTCATGGTGTGGGGGGAGAAGGGCCAGGACCTACAGGCTCATGAGAGCCCACCCTCTCTACAGGCAGTCAATGGAGACACATTCTCCTCTTCAGTGGTGTGGCCCATGTCCTGTCAATAACTTCTCACCTAGTTCCTGCAATCAGCCCCAATGAAATTCACTGGGTAATAACTTGCTCACTGGCTAACGAAGTAAATCAAGGCATGAAAGTGGAGAGAGAGGAACTAGGTGGAAAGAGGATCAGAAAAAAACAACAGGAGAAAGTAATAGGTAATATAATAAAACCATTATTATGCATAACTAACCTATGCTAATAAAAAATAAATTTCAAAAGCATGAACCATGCAAAGCGCTGAGATAAAAAGTCACTGTTGCAAAAATAAATAAATAGATAAATAAATAAATCCCACAGCATACTTTGAGATTTTTATGTTGAGAATTTTGAGGTTAAGTCTACATAGAAAACTGGCATGCTGCACAGCTATTTCAAACTCGAGGTCAATCATCAGTATCACAACATCTCCCTTGCAGTAAGTTTTGAAAGTAAAGGCACAGGACAGACACAGAAGCAACCACGATACAACTGCATTCAAACAATGCTGACCTTGTGACCATCTTAACTTGGTAGTGAGGTAAATACTGCCGCCTACCCTATGATCTACACCTAACATTTCTTGCTGCAATTCAAAATGCTCCTGTCTGGACTCTCTGACATGATCAGAACTGACCACCTTAGAGACGTCGATATACACAGCGATGCGGTATTCCCCAATAATTGATTGACTGCTGCAGAAATAAAATCTATTTTCTTGTCTCTAAAATATGACCATGTTCATAACATAGCAATGCTATTAACAGGTTTAATCACAAAACTAATGTGTAAAATCAGGTATTTGAAAAGCACCGCCCAGGAGTCTGGGGATACTCTTGTGTCATTTGGACCATGAGAAAGGGAGAATGGCAAATCTCCTGGCTGGGTCAGGTCCTCTTAGAATCTCTAGTTCCTGACCAGTCACAAGCCCCCAAAGAAAATTCTGGGGAATGGTCCAACCCAACCTTACTTCAAAAGTAATCCCAAGAGTAGTCTCTACTGCGGGAATGGAAAGGATGCAGTACACTAGCCATAAATATCATGGCTACATCAACGGCTTTTTAGAACAATTCTGAAGCACTGGCCTGATTTGAAATGCCAGAATATACACTTTTTTTAAAAAGACTTATCATTTTGTAAGGGGGAAAATTACTTGCAGCAAATAACCAAATTTTCTCAATTGGTAAAAATTATTCCTTGCATAAAAATAAAAGGATTTGCGGCCCCTGCTCTTCCGAACACCACCCTGTCACCCCTTTCTCTCGGAAAGCCTACACAATACACACACAGAAAGCTTTCAGAATATGCTCCCACACAATAGACCCCCAACTAGTCAAAATGAGTTTAGGTGTATCAAGAAAATTACACACGTTTTTAAAATGGTCTAAATAGATATTAAAGGAAAGTTGCTCCCATTTTGCTAGGCACAGCATTCTGAAAGATCTCACAGGGAGAAAAGTCTCTTACCATATTGTAAACCATAAATTGTGTTTGAAAATAAAATCGTTAATGAAGAAACTGACATTTCTAAAGCTGCTGTTAGAGGTAGCCATTTCCAAAACACGTTTGTGACACAAAATCGTAAGGCCTCAAATCACAAAATTCATTGATTTTATTATATATTTTTCAAAACCTAAAACTTCAAACGTGCCCTCTCCTGTGAACCACTAAAATTGATGAATATAAACGAGACACTCACATGAACCCTTCTGTTTGTTTCTTGCTAGAAACAATAACATTTGCCATCTCAGGCTATACTCTTATGAATATTTTGATAGCAAAATAACTACCTTGTACTTCAGAAAAAAAAAACTACAATGGGAAACTTTTTAATTCCAGAACACTGTTCTGAGTTCACATGACTACAGGAGAATCTGATTATTCTTTATCATTTTAAAAGGTATAGCAAAAAATATGAACAGTTCTTAAATTAGCTGAGTTTATAGTCTCACAATAAAAATCAAAACAAACTAATATTTTCCTAGAAGAAAGAACACCCAAATTACAATCTCTTATCAAAATTTTGGGCACTATAAGCCCCTTTTCATAGTCAAAATCCGAATTTAAAGTCACTGCTCTATCAACATGAAGATGCCCTGTCTTCAGGAAGCAGTGGCAGGCAGAAGGTGACCTGCGGCAGTGAAGAGAGCCTCTGTCCGACCACAGCACGGGTAGGACTTGCCTTCAGGGGCTTGAGGTGTCCACTGCACCAGAACATGGGACTTGCCTGAACTACCACTGCTGGTCACAGAGTGAGGTGAAGTAAGAATAAGGCTCTTTACAACGCTCCTGGTTTGCCCCACTCACTGTCAGAGCTGCTGTAGCTAGCCTCTGGCTGAGACATGCCACCAGGGACTGCTCCTTGGGACTCGTCACTTCCTAATAACAAAATGAACAAGGAGAGGAGGGAGGAGGAGAATGGAAGGCAGCATCATTAGATGGAGAGGTTCTGCAGAGCCTTGGCTCGGGGTCAACTTAAGGATGCTGCAGCCGTCGTACACGTAGTACAGGAGGAGAAAGTGCTAATAAAATCACAACAGAGAGGCCCGTCTTTCAAAACTGAGTATCTTACTTTCCGGCAGCATGCACTTGGGCCACTGTCGAAGGGAAGATAAAATAGTGTTGGCCTGATGAACTAGGGAATTTATGATATAATGACATTTTTGCCAAAAATCAACCTTTTCATTAGAAATTGAGAAATACTGCAGGATCAGCAAAATGACAAATCTTTAAAAATGATAAATCTTTAAAAAGAAAATATGGCAGAACTGAATCTCCCATCACTAAGTCAAGAAAAGCACCTCCCTCCTAGGAGCCCTCAACGCACCAGCCCCAAGCCGTCTTTTGCCTTTGTTGACGTCACCTCTAGACTAACATGTTATGGGAAATGGCTTAGGAACCATCTTATAACTACATTATTTTTGAGGTTTGTTTGAGACACGGTTTCACTATGTAGCCATAGCTGGCCTGGAACTCACTATGTAGCCAAGGCTAACCTTAAACTCACAGAGATCTTCATGTCACTGCCTCCCAAATGCTGGGACTAAAGGTGTGTACCCACCTTTAGTAGGTGCCCAGCTAGTTTATAACTATCTAAGAAATTACTTCAAGCCTTTTAAAGTTTTTATTTTAAAGTTTAATTCCTTCCTCCTGGGTGGCTGCAAAGAGCTGCAGCCCAGACGGCCCAGCAGGGAGGAGACCGCTGCTGTGGTGCTGCCAACCTTGAGTTATGTGTCAGCAAGGCAGGGGACAGCTACAGCCGAGTGGCAGTTCTGGTCTCTAGCCCTCACCTGTTCTCAGCTGCTCCGTCATTTAAATGCTCAGGGTGTCAGGTTCCAAATCTGCGGGGGGGGGGGGGGGGGGGGAGCTATCTCCATGGTCCCAGCCTCATGGTCACTGTGAAGAGTGACACCATGTGAGGACAGATGACATTCTGGTGCATGCCATATGAATACAGCCTCTACCTACACAGTATTTTATAATCAAATCAAAATATTATGATCCACATGGCAGTCCTTCACCCAGCGGGAGGAAATTCAATTTGGGGCTCTCTACGGAAGAAATTTAGTAAAGCTGTTCAACTTACGGGTCTGTGTGGCCTCTGTCTGTGCACTTGAGCAGTCCACATCTTCAACACTGGATGCTGTGCTTTCTTCAACTTCTTTCTTCCGCTTCTTACATGTAAAATTTAAAAGGCACGAGAGAAAAAGTGGTGATGTAATATAGCGGTCACATCGGGAAATACACAAACAGACTAGGACGCGTGAATCTGAGTGTGAGAGAGTCTGACAACACAGAACATAGTCCTAAACTCAGCAGAGCGGTTACCTGGGGAAGGAAGAATTAAGAGAGCTCCAAGCACAGCAGTCAGTCTTCCCTTACATCTACCTCTAGGTTTCCTTGCTCTGAGTTCACCACAGAAAGCTACACTTGACCCATCACGGCTGAGCAAGAACAAACTCTTTCCGGACATGAAATGTTTTACAAATTTACACTCTCCCTCACACAGGCCAATGAGACCCATTCTTCTCACTTATTAATGTGGATGGAGGCAGGTGGGGAGGCTGTGGACTAGATAGTAGGAAAATATACAGGACTCGCTTCACACATGCAATCAGTGGCTGTACAATCAAACACTTGAGGCAAAACTCTACCATGAACCAACGTTTCCTGTAGGGTGTTTTTTTTTTTTATTAGAAGTTTAAGTAAGACTGCCATTTTGCCGTAAGTGAATAACCTTAAAAGTGCAAAGTTCTCCTAAAACCTCAAAAGCCACCTGGGTTTCCGAGCACCTCACGTACTCCTTTCCCATTCCGTCACTCTGGAGGCCTGCTCACACTCCATCGCTGCATCCTTCACACGCATGCAATGCAGCTCCCTGTTCTGCTGCGTCCTATTGCTACAGGATCCAACCAGCCCCAATTCCCTGCCAAGTTTTAAACTTACTTAACATTTCTCTACGGGTATAATTACAGAGGGTCATTAGTAACAAACACAAAACATTTATATTTTCCGTATAACTTATCCATGTAGTTTCTCACATTTAAATGTGTCAGAGCCTCTTTGAGGTCCCTAAAGTATATCTGGTCCTTTAGTAAGGCATCTGATATGCCCAAATCTCAGTCACAATGCAACACAACCTTCTTGTTCATACTTTCTAAACAAGAGACTTCATCTGAGAATGTTCCTTGCTGCAGACCACTCTACGTACAGTTCTGAAGAATCAATACCGACCAACAAGACACCAGTCTCTTCCTGAAAGGCAACCATAGTGTCCTAGTTACTTTTCTGTTGCTGTAAATGAAGCACTGTGACCAAGGGAACTTAGAGGAAGAAGAGTTTATTTCAGCTTATGGCTCCAGAGGAATCAGAATCCATCATGGCCGGGAGGCACGATGGCAAGGGTGGCTGGAGTAGAAAGAGGAGAGCTCACATCTTGAAGCAGGCACCAGAAGCAAAGAGCAGAGATCCAACAGGACTTAAGAACTCTCTAAGCCTGCCCCCGTGAAGTGCTTCCTGCACCATGGCCACACCTCCTAAGGCCTCCCAAAACAGCACCACCAACTGGGGACAAAAATGTCCAAATACTTGGAGCCTATGGGGAACATTGTCATTCAAACCACCACAGAGGGGTTCTGTCCTAGAGAACAATGAAAAGTGAAAGCCACCATGTTTTATTCCCCAGGCGGAGAGAATCACAATTGCAGTTTTAAAGCTGTGTGCAAGGGGGCTGGGGAAGTCTCAGAACTCAGACTAACAAACTTACCTACCATGCAGCTACAGAAAAGCCTCACATACACAGGAACAACCACCTGACCACCCCTCCCATGCAGAGAAACAACCCAACAAACACTTAGAAACTTCCAAAGGTGCTCACCAGTAGATCTGTATATGGAGATACTGCCTTCACAAAAATAGCCCTGAGAGTGGCTATAACTTCACATAACTGATGAGGGAAGGGGAGAGTGCCTTACATCTTTCTTTTCCAAAGTGTTGCTTCATGATTACCATCTAAACCCTGCTGGGCTGAACAGATTGGTTCGATAATTACATACAATAACTGCAGTGGGCAGGTAACCCTCAGCTGGCACAGGGCAGCTCCCCTGTGAGAACTTCCATATGCAAACTGCACTGATGGACTGCATTAGGTACATCTTTCCTGCCGGTGCACGGGCCTGATTAACGCCAGCCAAGACTCCAAGGTTAGCACGTCAGCAGATTTGTGATGCATTAGGCAGGTATAAACACAGACACTTTTGTGTGTTCAGACCAACATTAAGGAGGAATATTTCAGGACCATGGAGCTTTCCATACAGGAGAGAATGTGTTTTCCAGGTTTTGGATGGCAGGTTTTTAAATGCCCATTATAAAGGGAGCTATCCAATATTTTCTACCCAATTCATCTTGTTCTCAAGCTTATTAAATAGAAAGGAGCTTTCTTAATCTCCATGCAGGTAAATTACAAGGACTGAAAAATCAGACAGTATTCAACCAACAAAGGAAACACCTGTGCTTTAAGCAGCACATACCAGGGAAAGCACTGGGTGACATGAATCCACACACCAGCCAGGTGTCTCCACCCACCCTTGCTGACAGCAGATGTAGTTTGGCTGGGAAGGGCCCATGGACTGAAGATCGCCAGTTAGCAAAATAAAATGAAGCCCTCCCAGCCTAACAGTACGTGAGCACAGCACTCATGTTACAAGGCAATGCACAACAGTCGCCCATCTTCTTTCTGAGCCTCTCCATAATGTGGCATCTTGCCGTCTGCCAACATCCTAAGCTTCTGGTAGCTCAGAGGTGGGTTTCTTTTGAAATCAAAAGGGCTTCCCAAAATGATGGTGCTAATCTCTGATTTTGTCACATTCGACACCATGTTGCACAGACACCTTTATTTGCATTTATAAATGAAATCAAGATACTGTATGACACACAAGAATAACTTATAAAATACACTTAGAATACAGTTTGCTTTTAATTCAGCATAGAAAAGTCTTGAGAAGAAATCAGGCTTAGTTCAAAGGACATTAGTATATATATTGCACATTATATTTTTAAAGTGTTCAGATATGCTAAAATTTACTTAATTAGCAGCTTCTCACTTCCAATTTAGAAACAGGAAGGGAATTCAGTTGGACGCATATGGATTCATAATTTGCTAATAGTCTAAACATTGTTTGGAGACCAAACTGTTTCAATGGAAAAGACAACAGAAATCTTCAGAGGTAAAAACCACAGACGAACTCTCTGCTTCAGTCAAGACCCAGAAATCATGCCCAGATGATGTGATGGCCTCTGGGAAAAGCCAGCTAGGCCTCTGCCATCTCCTGGGAAGAGGCAGTGCGCTGGGTGCCGTCCTCATTGCAGAGTCACACGTGCTTGTTTTAAAAGTGAAGATACACCTGGCATTATATGTCAGAGGACTCCAAGCACAAACATGGCATGCCAGTCACCCTCAGTTCTCTTGATTTAGGCCACTGAAAGTCATCATGCAGTGTATACAATGTACAAGTTACTGATGCATTCCTTAAGAGTAACCAAAGGATTTAGTTAAAACGTACTGGACAAAAAAAATAAAGATGGGACATGAGAAAGCCGAACAGAATTCACTCGGTACTTCTCCGTCGGGAGAAAACTAGATCTGGGTGGGAGCTCTTTACTCCTGTTTCAGGTCCCTTCCCGCAGAACTCTGTCGCAGTCCTCTGTGGCTCCTTGGTGTGAAGTGGAGATTTCTAGGTGAAGTACAGTTTTGCTCTACCGCACTAGGCAGAGACTGTCCCCATGCCTCTCTCCGTCCCTCTCAGTATGCACAATCTTGGAGGCAGGGACTGCGGTCTCCATCCTTTTCCTAACCCCTGCTGAGCTCAGCACAGTACTTCCCAAGTGTCAGTGAAGCTGTACTCATAGAGCAACTACTCAACCCGTATCTTATCCTAAGTCCTTCAGACTGTAATATCTGCACAGGCATTAAATGATCACAGATGTGTTTCAAATAAACATCAGACGACCATCTATAGTTACAAGAAATTACAGTATCGGGGGTTGGATTTATTATGCTCAGAAGTGTTGGAGTGCTTTCTTGCACCTACTGTTTGGTATGAAATTTCTTGTGCATGTATGTAGTATTCGGTTGGGACTGTGATCAGGCTTGGCTTGTTCTCAGCTCACCTTTTTGTTTGTTTTGGGCTTTTCTTTTCCGTCTTTTTGAGACAGGGTCTCCCTGTAGCCCCAGCTGTCCCTGGAACTCACTATGTAGACCAGGCTGGCCTTGAACTCACAGAGATCCGCCTGCCTCTGCCTCCCAAGTGCTGAGACTAAAGATGTACACTACCATGCCCAGCAGCTCACCTTTTTAAAAGGAGCAGATGAGTTTGAAAAATAATCCTAATCCTGTTAGAATGCATTAAAATGTTTATTATTTTAGGTAAATCCAGTGACAAAGATTCTAATAAGAGTAATGAATATTGTACATCCTCAAGGCACAGGCCCCTGCTTAAAGAGAGACCAAGGGCGTCACCACGCACGCACTAATCATCTACCTGGCACTGTGACCAGCTTCATTCTCAACACTACAAAAAACCAAAACATATAAAAGCACTCAAGTGTGGTGGGGCTCAGGTACTTTAATACCAGCACTGTGGAGGCAAAGTCAGGTGGCTCTCAGTGAGCTCCAGATCAGCCTGCTTTACATAGTGAGACCTATCTTTTTTTAAAAAAAAGGGGGGGGGTTGGGGGGGTTAAAGCAAAAGGCCAATCATAGCTTCTATAAAAAAAATTAAACATATATATGTGTTCAATTTCTCTCAGCTGTACATGAAATCCTTTAGTGGTCCATAAATGAAAGTTCAATGTAATTCCTTTATGTGGAGTTTCACTCTGTGAAGTAGCAACTCTTACACATATGCAACTCATACATGACTTCAGTCAACTCTTGATTTTCTTGCCGTTTCAACTTGGATCCTTCTCCTATCAACATTTTAGTATCTGTTCTGGAGGTAGAAAGAAGAAATACAACTCAAATAATTGTGATGACTATTTACAGGTCTGGGGAAAAGAGTTGAATGAAAGATAGTGTTTTCAAACACAACTAACATGCAGTCTGGAATACCAGCATTCTTTCATAGTTCAAACCCTCTACTTTGTGAGTACCACAATAAACTAAGAGTTTTAAAAA